TTTTGGCTATAAATTATAAAAACACTTTAACTCCTAAGCATCCTTTATTTGTGTCTTTGATTCTTCCCTCGCTGAAATGTGTACCTAATTACTTTATTTACTTATAAGAAAATATCTCCTTTCGTTAAACATTTCTAAGCACACCACTTGTAAAGGTGTTTTTAGAGACAGAAGCTGATGCATGGCAAATACATAAAAGTATATGATGTGTAGCTTGTGCGGATGCGAGAAGTCAATTTTAATCTTGGGTGAATTGCAATTATAGCCTGTGGCACGTGTCATTAATGTTCACGCCTTTATCACAAAATATATGTATATGTTTAAATAAAAAAAATTTTTTTTGAGCTATTTCATATTTCTTGGATTACAAATTGCATAGGTCTGAAACTGCATCACCGCACGAGCTACGCACACTATTTTTTGTTATACCTCTAAATCTCTGCCGTGTAAAAAAACACCTTCATCAGTATTATGGTAATCCACAGTGAACGGTTTTTTTTCTATTCGGTATGATTGATAGATTTCGTATATTCATAAATTATTTTCATAGAACATCATGGGAGTAACTTATTTTCTGGAAACCAATTATAAAAAATAGTATTTGATATAATATTGAACAAAGCGTATCGATACGTTCATGTTATATATCAATCAATAATCATCAATCTGATTTAGACAGTGACTTATTCAACTGTGTAGTGAGATTCGTATTTTTCTATTCACGGAAAAACGTACTTACTGTTCGATGGACGAAATAAAATTTATTTTCCAATGATTCATAACTGGCAACGGAAATTAAACTACCGATGCAGGTGTAACAAAAGATTATTTTTTGAATAAATAATTCAAAAGTCATGTTCATGATCTAATATGTCTTTCCAAAAGAAAAATGGGTTCATTTTTTTATTGCAAACTTATTTCTATGTTTATTGTTTTACAATTAATTACACCCGACACATGGCTGATGACATTAGGGAGTCTTATCCATTAAAGTTATTATTAAAATAATGTATACTATGCGTTGTATAAATAGCAAAACAACGCATAGTTTATCTATGATTTATCGTTTTGTTTACAGATTTTTGCTAACAAGAATATCAATTAATATGTTAAATGTCTTAATATTAATAATAGACAACGTTGTAATAAATAAAATAAGATAGATTACGATTTTTTATGATGTTATATCGCCATATCGGGAAGTCCAGACGCCAGACAGTCAAATTAATATTGAGTTAATACCATCTGATACATCACGTATGAAATAATATGTTCCATTATCCTCGGTCGAAGTTAAACACTCTTTCAGCTGCTACAAATTAATAATTTTGAGACCTACCCGTTGTACATTTACATTTAAAAATCTACAAGTGTATGTCGTATCCAATTGTTTCCGAGAAGACAACAATGACGATGAATTTAATTAATACAATTTAAAAAAATGTAATAAACTACATTTTTTGTTCGTTAAATATTTCGTGCTTTTAAATAAATAATTTAACAAAAATAAGGACATAAATATTTACGTATCGTGACTTTTTTTATTGCGTAAACATCCGTGCCCCGGTAATAACTACACATCTATACTACTTGTGTGATAGGTGACAATCGATCGACGGTCATTAAGCAGTAAGCACAAATAAGTGCAAGTAGAATTTCCTACTCTATGATTATAAATTATAATTCCGTTTACGATTCACAGTATGGGGTTATTCGTGTTATAGTAATAGTATAACACGGTCGACATATTTTAAATTCTTGGAGGGAAATTCGATGCCGGAAGACATTCCAGTTGGCGCGCCTGTGTCTTTGGAATTTTTCTCAACCATCGATAGTTGTTGACTGCGTTGTACACCCACAAGGACCGCCGATTCACAGAATCATTAACAGATACACTACCCGCGCACACATTTTTCCATTTGAATTAAATGCGTAACGCATAAATATTTTTCTAAACGTTTACACTAAAATGGGTGTAACGCATAATTATTAGACGATAATTATAATCAATAAACGGGTGACGTGCAATGAATGCGTTGAAATTTTTTTGGACGAATGACGTAGATTTTTTAAAAAATAATCCTTATAAGCCGTTCGAATGGCGCGCTCCGAAATCGGTAAACGCAAATATCGTGACGACCAAGATATCGATATTTTTATCATGTACACGTCAAACGGGTAGATGCAACAGGTCGGTGGTTTATTTATCGTGATTAGTAGTAGTAGTGTGTGTTTGGTGCGTTTTATATTTATTATTTTTTTTCTAGGTTTTTTTTTTCGTTATTTTAATTTTTTATAATAGTTTGTGTTTTTAGTTTTTAGTTTTTAATATTAGTAAAATGTACATTAATTCGCGTTATTACGTATTGTCTCGATACATTGCTCAAAGTGAAATAAAGAAGGATTACTCTCTGAAGTTTATATAAAAGTAATGTTTATGTACCTATTTGTTTTTATTTACAGCCGGGCTTTTCGTAAAATATGTAATAACTAATCATTGATATACATTTCGAACGATATGATTAATCAATACTGTAAATACTGTAAGATATTCACAGTTTGATATATTTTCAATTATTAGTTTGTTCATCAAAGTATTTATTTTACAAATTTGTTTTTACTCTATTTTTGGCACGATACAACTTTTTTTTATTTTAGTCTTTAATAATGTATCTACTGTATGGTTGACTAATTGAATTTATTATATTCAACAAGGATTTAATAATACTTCTTTCTAAAATATTATTTTTATACATTTAATATTCTTTATCATAAATATCAGTATTTTAAAAAAAATAATGTATTATCTCATAAAAACATCAAATTTTTAGTTAAAATTTTTTTTTTTTATAATTATAGGAAATTTCTGTACATTTTAATATACATTATATATAAATGATGTATTTGTGATGAATTCCTATATAAATTAATATAATAGAAATCTTTACTTGCACAATAGCCAAAAACTACTTTCTAAATTTAAATAATTTGACTAAAAATATTAAAGAATTGAAATGTGTCATAAAAAGTAATATTAGCATAATTTATGAATTTTAGTTTAAAATAGATGTATTATATAAAATAAATTATATCTTTTACATATCTTTTTAGTCCACTTAGACATAATTTATAAGGTACCTCTTATTAGTATCAATCAGTTAACTCACTTAATAACCTAAATTAAAACTTATGCTGAAGTATGTTAAGGTTATAAAATGTATTAGGCTTATTAAAACAAAATTAAAACAGTTATTACAATAATTATGTTTTTATTCGCCTAGCATTTATAAGAATTACATCTGGAATCAAAGTTTAAAATGTTAATTGACATTTCATTATTCTTATAAATTTATTAATTTTTCATGCTTAGTAAGAATTTATATATTTTTAAATTTTAGATACATGTAACTAAATAATTATGTTTATAAATAGTTAATCACATATTTTTTTTTTTTATTATTAAAGTTGTATCTATTTGCTGCTTAATTAATATTTATATTGATTAGTACCAGTTAATTAAGATCATATTTAAACAAACAATATATTATTCAACTATATAAATACTTTCCACTTTTAACTTGAAAGTTGAAAAATAAAATAATAAGATATATTTTTATTCAACTGTTTTAATGTTATACATTTCTGACCCAACTATTAGAATATTCTTAAGGTGTTCATGATTTTAAATGTGAATTATCAATTCATATACACACCCACATTTTTTTTTTATGAGATGTGTTGCAATAATGGTTTTGAATTATTCATTTTCAAATTGAAATGTATCCGTTATATACTGTGTGCTCATTTATATTGCTTGATTCTATACAACAAATATATACCTAATGTTTTCACTACAATAAGGTTTGAAAATATATACATTTTTTACCAAGTAGGATCAACGCATTATATTTAATTACTTGTTAAAAAAAACTATTTAGTATACTCAAAATCATTATGTTTTTTAATCTTATATTTTTATATGTGTATGTGTATATAAATATAAGAAAAAGGAAAAAGTAATATACATTCCTTATTTTTTCTTTCATGTTTGAAAACACGTTTATTATTAAATATACAGGTATTAAATAAATTCTGTTATTTTAAAATATTACTAGTAGGGCTGGAATTTTAATACCCTAAAAAATCTCAAAAAATGCCCTTAAAAAATGCATTTAAATTTATTCATTGTAGCTTAAAAATTGGAAAAAAATTTTAAAATAAACTAGAGTAATGTATTTTTTTTTTTAAGTACTTTGTTACTTGTTTAGTTGAATGTTGTTCTGTTTTTTCTTTATCATTAGCAGAAAGACCTAGTTATGATAATATATTTGTTTTTGACAATAACTTATCATTCTATATAATTATTAATTTATTATTCGTACCATCAGCAGTTTGTCAAAAGTCTCTTGTTATCACATCAATTTTCGTTCATTTTATGAACAAATTATGAAAAATGCTCTAAAAAATAAGAAATTGCTCTAAAATTGACAATAAAATGCATTTAAGATTAATTTAGTCAAAAAATACAAAAATATGTAAAAAAAAAAAATTACTTTAAAATAATCAGTATCACCCAAAGCACATATATTTATGAACTAACGTTTTGAAACACCAGAAAAAAAAGATGCCTTTGCATCAAAATCCCAACCCTAGTCATTAGTTATAATTGATTTTTCATATGAATTTAAAATTTATTTTAACTATGCTATAAAAAACTTTAAAAAGTATTTTGTGAATTATAGTAGTATTGTACAATTAATAGTTTAAAAAATTCAAGAGCTTATGAATTTACTTTAATGTATATTAATTATTATTCAAGATTTAGATTATTTTCTTTTTAAATATTTTAAAATAATGTATGTAACTTTACGCCTCAGTTACTTAAATAATTTATGAGGTTTTAATAGGTTTGGTTCTGCATAGCTAGTATTCATACAGCAAAAATGATTTCTCTTATTATCTATAATGTGTATCTAATTAACTAATTAATTTATTTATAGGGAGTCCCTGGGAAGTTACAATCATGAGTGGAGGATCATATAGTCCAAAATTAAGCGTCCTTGGCGATGCTGTAAAATTAGTACCTGTTGATTCAGTAGCAATATTTCAAATAAGTGCTATTGGTTTTCATCGAGAAGATGTACAAGTTAATGTATTAAGTAAGTTAATTAAGTTTAATACTGACCTATTTTTGTTTTTAATTATATCAATATACACTTAATATGTAACATATTTATGTAATTAGAATTAAATTACGATTAACATATTTTTAGGTCCAACAAAACGTAATATACAAGCTAAAATTATAAATGAAGGAGGAAATGGAATATTTAGAATAGAATTCATTGTGGTTGAAGTGGGAACTCATTTAGTTGATGTAAGTGTAGCTGGTCATAAACTTGGAACTGGTACATTATTAGCTAAAGGATACAATTCAGCTTTGATTAGAGTGACTGATGTTTCTGATGCTGTTGTTGGCCAACCTTGTCAATTTAGAGGTTAGTTTATAAGAATATAATTATCATTTATTTTTGTACTAAACACATCAAATTAAAAAAATATTTAATCAACTACATTAGTACTGTGGTGTATTTAAAATGATATATTGTATGAAGGGGTTATTTACTTAAAATTTATTAATTATGCTTCCTCAAAAATCTTTTTACCCATAGATACGCCACTGCATTATTATTAATGTAATATTATGCTCTACTTTCTATCATTATACAAAAAATTATATGCATATTAACTGATTTTGAGATTATAAGGTGGAAAACATTTTTGAACTATGATTTAATTTTTAATTTTTATGATTATATACTTCCCAAGTTCTGAACGTCAAAGTTATAAACATTTTATAATTGATGTTAATTATAAAAATGTATCTGTATATTTTACTAAGATTATAGCATAAAGCCTACTGTTTTGAAACTATGATGTGCCTAATATTGTACTATTTTATTTTTTTTAATATGAAATGTTTCATTATAGACCATTTAATTACATTTTCTTAAATAATTTTTCTTAATTAACATTTTTATTATAGTTGATGCTAGTGATGCTGGTGAAGGTCAATTGGAAATATCAATTAATGAAGGAGAAGTACCAAATCATGTAACTGTAGTTGGAGGTGGAAGATGTTTAGTATCTTTTACCCCCGAACACGTTAAACCTCACATGATTGATATAAAGTTTAACAGTGAAACTGTAATAGGTAAAAATAAATTTGAAAGATTAAAAAATGTAATAATGATTTAGTATAAAATAAAGTTTTAATATTTAATTATTATTAATTTAAAGGGTGTCCATTTGTATGTTCAGTATCTGACACAAGTCGCGTGTCTGTTAATTTATCTCGTTTGGAGTTGATACCTGTTAATCAAGTAGCAAAATTTCATATGATGGTTGATAATTCAGCTTCAGCTGAATTATCTGTGTCTGTTACTGGTGAATATTTGTTTTATTTTTTTGTTCAGTATTTTTGTAATTATTTTTTTTCTTTAAATTTTAGGCCCTACTACTGAACTTCCAGTTAAAGTCACAGGAAATGTAAATGTAGGTTTTACCGCTGAGTTTACACCACTCCAAGTAGGAGCCCATTCAATATCAGTTGAATACAATGGCCATGCTGTTAATGGTACTCCTTATGTAGCTAAAGCTTATGACTCGAGTAAAGTTTTAGTTGGACATGTGCCTAAAGGTCATGTTGGAAATACATTCCAATTCACTGGTATAATTAAAACATTTTTTTCTTTAAATATTATATATTGTATGATGATTAATATTCTTTGATATCATTGTTTTGTGTAGTTGATGCTAGTGAAGCAGGTGAAGGAAATTTAGAAATTACTATATCAGCCAGAGGAGCAAATATTCCCACTCAAGTACATCCTCAAGGCAATGCTAAATTTGCTGTTAGTTTTCTACCACTTCAGCCTACTGATCATGTCATTACTATTCATTTTAATAAGGAACCAGTCCCAGGTTAGATAAATTTTATAATTTTTAATATTAACATACTAATTTAACTACAAAATTATTTATTTTAAATTAATAATTATGTTTGTTTTAGGGTCTCCTTTTATTGCTCATGTTGAGGGAGATTTACCGTTAGTTAGTGGTACTTCACTAACTAGCGCTCCTGTCTCAACTACTTCTCATTTCACTATGAGCAATGTTTCTGGATCATTGGATGACATTGAAGTTAATGTTGAGGGTAAGTTATGAATTCATTAATTTTCGTTTTCATTTTACATATTTGCCTCAGCACGACTGTATGGAATTTCAATTAAAGCTTGTTTACAAGTATGTGTGTCTATATTTTTACAGGTGGGCGATATCAAAAATCTCGATTATACTGATACTTCTCTCTTTTATTAACAACAAACTTTTAAAAACTTTCTGACAGCTATTAACGCTAATATTTTAATTTGGTGGTAGACCTATAAATGTAATGTACTGAAATAAAACTAATTCATTTAAAATATTTATATACATATATATATATATATATATTTAATCTAGAAATATTAAATAGCTATTGGTTGATATAAAAAAAAAAAAAAATAAAAAAATATATGTTGCCATAAAGTAGTATAGTTAAAAGATTTATCTTCTGAAAACATCTTTATTATTATATTTAAATAATTATTTGTATTCTAAATTTTATTTTATTATCTACTTAATTCTAAGAAATACTGTGATCAATCAATGAGAATAAATTAACAAATTTTTGTATAATTTCATATTTTTTTAAACATTTTTTAGAACTTGTCATAGTTGTGAAGTCTAAACTTTAATAATACATTTTGATTTTATTTTCATAAATTAATTTTGAATTAATAACTGGATGGCCAATAAAGATGTTTTCATCAGGTATTTTTAACTTACATTAATATATATGTTATATTTTGTTAACACATTTACATATTAACGAAAATTTAAAAGATTTAATGGAGTATTTTAAAAGCTTATGTATTATAATTTTATTAGTTTAATTTCATTTTTGAATAGTGTTTGTTGAGTTTAAAATTAAATATTACATGCTGTATATTTTGTAGAGCTTGTAAATTGAGTGTTTTACATTCATTTATTTGAATGTGCATTTCTACTTATCTATTTAATAATATTATATCAAATTTTACTAACTAACTATAGTTTAATAATAGAAATTCTATTTTTTGAAATACTATTTTTTTCTTTTAATTTAATTTTTTTTTTTTTGGATTTTTTTTTCATCTTAGTAATTCTTGTTATAATTTTTACATATTTAATTTTAATAATATTAAATCTAATTTAATCGATTTAAATAATAAAAATATAATGTAATGTAATAAAATATTACACAAAGCACAAAGAATAAAAAAAAAAATAAAAAAAAAAAAAAAAAAAAAAAAATAAAGTTTTTAAAAAATATATAAAACAAATTCATATTTCTTAAATATTAAAAAAAAAATACATTTAATTAATATTATACAATTTTTATTTTGGTGCTTTATGCATGCCAATCATTAAATAATTGCATTTTGTCACTTTTTTATGTTATATGTATATTTTTTTAATATAAATTTTTTAGTGTTTGGTTTAAAGCATAATTTTTACTTTAAAGTTTAAACATTAAAAAATGTTTATTTAATGCTTATGCGCTTCACTTATTCAAATAATGTTACTAACACTAATGAAGGATTATATAGGTCCTAATGGGTCGGCAGTTCCTGCCCAAGTAAAAGAATCTGGTTCACAATCATATAAAATTGAATTCTGTCCTAAAATTGTTGGTGAACACAAGATTGCTGTTAGTTATCTTCGGACTCCAGTTGCCGGATCTCCATTTAGTTGTAAGGTGTATGATATCAAAGCTATTAAAGTGAAATCAGTACCTAAGGGCACAGTTGGACAACAAGTCACTTTTATTGGTAAATATATATGGTTTAATAATAATTATGCTCCATATATTCATTTATTTGGTAAATTTTAGTTGAAACAAGTCAAGCTGGTCCAGGTAATTTAGAAGTTACAGTAAATGGTGGTCGAGTGCCAACTTCTGCTCAAGCTCAAGGACCACATACCTATGCGATATCATTTACACCTCGTCAACCAACTGTTCATACTGTACATTTACGTTTTAATAATCATGATGTACCAGGTAAAGTAAAGGTTGAAAATTGTATAGTTGGTCATAAATTCATAAATATCTGATATTTTTAAGAATAAAACTATTTTTTGTATGTAACTAGTGAGAGAAAAGCTTAAATTAAATTAAAAAATATCTTAAAAAATTTTTTTATTTTGTTTTTATGTGAATTTATCATATTTTAAGCCATGATTTGATAAATTAAAACAATTTTTGTTTTAGGTTCACCATTTACTTGTTCTGTTTCTGAAGCTGCTAGAGTGGTTGTCTGGTCAGCTACTGAAGATAAAGTTGCTGTTGGTAAAATAGCATCATTTGCTGTTCAATGTGAAAGTAGTCCTCAAGTACAAGTTCTTGCACCTCTTAGACATTCTTTACCTGTTACTGTTATACCTGCTACTCAACCATCAACTCACAATGTTCAATTTACTCCTATTGATGTTGGTAAGCCTAAATTATGTTTTCTAATAATTAATGTAATTTATTTTTTGTTATTATAAATAATATGATATATTTTACTTTTAAATAGGTGATCATAGCGTTGAAGTTAAAGTTGATGGCATACACGTCGAAGGCAGTCCATTTTTAGTTAAAGCATATGATGCTTCTAAAGTTCGTGTTACAGATATTAACACAGGATTTGTGGGAAAACCTGTCAATTTCAATAGTGAGAATATACTTTTTTTTTTATAAAATCAAAAACTTAACATTTTTGTTATTTTAGTTAATGCTAGTGAAGCTGGTGCTGGTAATTTAGAAATTATAGTGTCAGTTAATGGAGTCAATGTTCCAAATTATGTTCAATCTGAAGGAAATGCTAAGTTTCGCGTTAATTTTAAACCCCGAGATGCTGCTCCCCATAGTCTGAGTGTACGCTTTAATGGTGAACCTATTCCAGGTAATATAACATGTGTTTAACATATCATATAATATTAAAAATATATTAAAAATAATCAATAATTAATTATTTATCATACAGGGTCTCCATTAACTTGCAGAGTATTAGATATTGATCAAGTTGCAGTAACTGGAAATGGTGTTCGATATTGTGCTATAAAAAAGACTGCAGACATTAAAATAGAAAGTCCCGATATATCTAATGATACAAATTTCAAAGTCAATGTCTTTTCACCATCTGGACAATTGATTGATGTTAAAACGAGCATCATGGCCAATGCTATTGGAGCATATTATACACCAAATGAAATTGGTAATTTTTTTAATGTCAACACAATATTTATGAACCAAAAAAGCATTTTATGAAATATATTTTATAATTAATTAAAACATTTCCAGGAAGACATATGATAGAAATTTTTATAGAAGATCAGCCAGTTGATGGTAGTCCATTTGCTTGTCATGCATATAATATAAACAATATAAAAGTTACAGGACTTGATAATGCTAAAGTAAGTTTCTTACAGATAATATACTAATATAGTATATTTTATTTTTATGTATGTACTCATGAAATATTTTTACAAAGGCTAGTAAACCAGTTACATTCAGCGTTGATGCTACAGAAGCCGGAGAAGGCACATTAGAATTGGTGGTTAGCAGCCAAAAAGGCACAGTTAAAGCAGAAGTAGTCGCTTGTTCAAGAGGATTATACGATGTAACATTTGTTCCTCATAATGCAATACCACATTTTGTTAATATAACATTTAATGATGAAATTGTACCAGGTAAATAACAAAATAAAATTAATATTTGTTTATTAAGATTAAGATTGTATTCATTAAATGGTTATTTAAATTTTCATTTAAAGGAAGTCCATATAGCTGTGATGTTGTTGATTTAAATGGAGTCAAGAAAGGAGTATCTGGTTCATCAATTACTGCATTCGGTGAAGGATTGCAACGAGTAAAACTTGGTTATTCAGCTCGTTTTGACATAAATCCACACATTGCTGATCATGGATCTATTAGTGTGATTGTAAAAGGTTTGTGTTTCTCTATTGACGAATGATATATTTTTTTAAACGTTTTTCTATTATTATGTTATTTTAATGTTAAACAATTTTTGAAATTAGATCCTGATAATAAGACTATACCTGTTAATTTACACAAGCATGATAGTGGGTTATATCGGGTAACATATCGCCCATCTATTGTTGGTGTTCATATGGTTACAATTACGCATAGAAATCAGCCAATTACCAAACATCCTTGGAAAGTTCAAGTCATAGATTCTGAGTTAGTTATTATTAGTGGACTCAATGAAGCTATTTGTAATAAACCTGCATCATTTAAAGGTAAGAAAAAAAAAAACATTAATAAAATAGTAATTGACTTAATTATAATGTTTTTTCTTACCTCGTATAGTTGATACAAGGAATGCTGGTAAAGGAGAATTATCTGTGGCAATTAAAGCAGCTGGCCGTGATGTCAAATTAAAATCTTCAGATGTAGAGTCTAATGGTATCTACCAAGTAGCATATCAGCCTGTTATACCTGTACCTCATTATGTGCATGTAAAATACAACAATTTTAATGTGCATGGGTCGCCGTTTATGGTGAATGTGCGAGAACAAAATCCATCTACATCAGCTGAACTTAGAGTTGTTGGTCTAGGGCTTTACCAAGGTATTTCTAACAAAATGTCAACTTTTATAATTGACAGTGCTGGTAAATCCAGTCATGAATTTGATGTTGTTATTACTGGAATGCAACATAGTGCTGTCCCAGCCCAATGTTATCAACACAAAAATGGTATGAACTTGATTGTTGAATTCACACCTCCCAAAGTTGGTGAGTTTTTACTATTTTTCTTAATATCTATTATTGATTTTAATTTAATGATTTTTTTTTTTTATTATTATTATTCAGGACAGTATAATATTGATGTCACACACTTTGGTAAGCATTTAAAGGGATCACCATTCACCAGTTATGTATACGATGCTAGTAAAGTTAAAATTGACAGTCTTCCAGAGAAGAATAGTGCAGTTGTTCATAAACCAATGTCATTTAGATGTTAGTATGCTGTACAAAAAAAATTTTTTCCATAATAGTACTTATTAACTATCCAATTTTCAGTGTTGCGGAAGAATGCTGGGTTGGCTGATTTTACAGTTACTTGTCTTGGTCCAGATAATGAGGATGTTCCAGTAGATTTAAAATTATTCAATGAAGATATTGATGTTGTTCAAATAAACCCCACAGTACCTGGAGATTATATTTTCAACATCTGCTATGGCAAAGATCATATACCTGAAAGTCCATTAAAAGTGCATGTTGCTGATCCAGGAATACCTCGAGCTTGGGGTTCTGGTCTTGTTAAAGCTCTTAAAGATGTTTCAACAAAATTTTACGTCTCAGCATTGGGCACATCTTATCATGCTGTTCCTGTTGTTAATATACGTAATGGATCTGAAATAATACCTGTGACAATTAATCAATGTTCAAGTGGTCATGAAGGAGATTATGAAGTCTTATTTATTCCGAACCATATTGGTTTTTGTGATATAAATATTTTTTGGAATGGAAGACATGTTGGTGAATCACCATATAAGTGTATGGTTGTTGATTTGACTAAAGTGCTGACAATTGGTGAATCAAATTTAAATAATCGTATTATACTTGGAGTTAATGCTCCTACAACATTGACATTTGATACTTCAGTAGCTGGTCCTGGTAAATATTACACATCTTGTTAAATTGTTATTTGAAGTCAATTATCATTTTTATTATTCACATCTCAGGAAAATTAGCTGGTCATTTAGAAAGTCAAGGAGGAACAATTGTTCCAATAATGATAGATCATGCTGGTGATAATGTTAAATGCGTATTAACACCACACATATCTGGCCCTCATGCTCTGTACTTGAATTTTGCTGGACTACCATTACCAGGTTCACCTTATCCTGCTTTAGTAGAAAGTGGAGCTGCTGGTGTACGAGTAGTACTATCTGGTAGTGGGCTGTCAACGGCTACTTGTGGACAACAAGCAGAATTTATAATTGATGGGTCACAAGCAGGGCCTGGTATGTTAATACTATTATTTTAATTTTAATGTGTTTTTTCAGTTGTTATGATAATTGTGTTATTTTATTTAAGGTAATCCTGTAGTCACCATAGCAGGCTCTAGACATGAAATACCAGTTAATATCGAAAAAACAGGTGATAATGTGTACAGTGCTGTTTATACCCCTGTAAGTCCAGGTGCTTATTTATTAAATGTGCTTTGGGGTCACAGGTAAATAAATAAATTTATTTTTATTTTTTATGCATTTTTATGGCTTATAATAATATATATTTTCTTATTTTAGGCAAGTTAAAGGCTGTCCTTTAAAGGTAAATGTAACTGGTGTTTGTGATGCTAGTAAAGTTCTATGCACTGGAGATGGTCTAGGTATAGGTACAGTTGGAAAAGATATCAGAAGTTTTATTGATACACGAAGAGCTGGTCCAGGTATAACATTTAAGACATTCCATATTTTTATGATTATTATTTATGTAAACCATTCATTATCGTACATGTATTTTTCAGGAGAGTTAAGTGCTCACTGCATCGGACCTCATAAAGTTGCCTATTGTGAACTATATGACCATGGAGATGGAACTTTCACATTAAATGTGAAACCACAAGAATCAGGCAGACATACACTGACTGTTAAATATGCCGGTTAGCATAATAATTAATTACTAAAAAAAAATAGCATATACCTAGTAGGAAATATATATATTTTAAGGGTATTTCATTGTTAGAAATATGTATTATTTTAATTTAAACAATTTTTGCATGTTGTGTTCTTTTGTATATACCAAAAATTTAGGTGAGGATGTACCTGGAAGTCCTTTTACTGTTCGAGTTAGCGGTGCACCAGATGCTAGTAAAGTTCGAGTGTACGGTCCTGGGATTGAACACGGCGTGTTAGCAATTTTCCAAAGTAGATTTATATGTGATACTCGTGGAGCTGGTGCTGGACAGTTAACTGTCAGAGTTAGAGGACCTAAAGGTGAATGCCAAAACACTTAAGTACACTTTTTTACACTTCTCAAATTTATAATTTGTATTTTATTTGCAATGAACTATTGTTGATTGTTATTATATTATCTAATTTTATTATTATTAATTTTTATATTTTAGGAGCATTCCGTGTAGAAATGCAACGTGAAAATCAAAAAGACCGAACTATATTATGTAAGTTTGATCCAACAGAGCCTGGTGATTATAGAGTGGAAGTAAAATGGGCCGGAGAGCATGTTCCTGGTTCTCCATTCATGGTCATGATATTTGACACACAAGAAGAACTTAACCGTTTTTTACAGGTAAATTACTCATGTGGTGATATGTTTTGTTTTAAATATGTAACTTATAATTTTATATCTAATTTTTCTTTTTTATTGATGATTTTAGGGTAATCATTCACCAGCAGGTTCTGATCTATATAGTAGTGTTAATTACTCATCAAGTTATGCTCATATCACACCTTAAACTTTGTTACTAGGTGAATAATATAATTTTAAATAATAGTATTTTTTTTTTTTTGTTAAACTATTTTATTACATTAAAAATAATTGTTTTTAACTAGGATTATTGGTAAACAAATCCGTCCAACTGACTATTGATTTTTTTTTTAAATTTATATTATATTTATTATTTATTTAATATTTAATATTTTTTTTATTATATTTACAAATTAACTTATTTAAAAAAAATCAAAATTAAGTACTATGTTCTTGTTATATGTCTTCCATGTATTATTTAACAAAGTCCATAAATAATAAAAAAAAATGTATTAATATAATATTTTTGTCTATTTGATATTTTAATATCGTGAAATAGGTAGGATAATCTTTTATTTATTTATTGTTTACAAATTACAACATATTTTATAAATGTCTTGTTGTACAAAATAATATGATGTGTCATTGTAGTTAAAGCAAGTGCATAACATAATGAATATGCAGATTGTCATAGTTTACAGAATCAATAGTTGCTTGTGTTTCAACAATAAGACTATTGTCATATGGCATTAAAGATCGGTTAGTGTTGAACTTGAATAATAAAAATATATTTAAAATGAATAAAGGTAATTTTGTAAAAAAATTATTTACATAAAGATTAATATGATAAAAATTTGATAGATTGATGAAAAATTAATGCATTAATATAAATAATTATAATTCTTTGTTAATATGAGTATGATTATTAATTTTGTATTTATATGTAAATAATAATTTTTAACAAGTTGGCATTACTACAGGGAAAAATTTGAAAACAAATTTCTTTTTGAAAATGATTTTCAATTTACAAACATTGTGAATTATATAAAACAATATATTTAAACTTTAAACAAACATAGGTATAAAACTCATAACTTCGATCCACCAATTATTGTTAGTATAGTTGATTATCTTTATTTTTTATTTTTTAATAGTCCACAACTTAAGATCTTAGTAACGTGTATTACTTGAAAATAGGTATACATGTAAAAATCACATAGTATTCACCTGAAACTTTAAATTTAAATTAAAAATTTTGATAAATGTTTGTAATAATATTATGGAAAGTTAGAGTTCAATATTTTTGTAAGTTATGAAGTGGAAAATGCATGCAAAATAGTTGCACAGATGAGGGACTCATTATGAAACATGCTGTGACTTAAACTAAGGTAAAGTTGTGCTGGAGTCAACAGGAATGGTAATTAATTCAGTTTATCAGTGAATATTGTCCAACTGCATTAATGTAACAAAAGGAATTAAATTTTATGATCCATGTGTGTAATATTGCAGTCAACAACATATAAAAACATGAATTCTTATGAAATAAAAAATCCCGTTAAATAATTTCTTTGAATTTTATTTTTTATTCATTTAAATAATACTTAATTCTAATATAAATTACTATATTTACAAATATAATTATCATTAATTAAGAATCTACAAATATAACTTTTTTTAGAATACAATATATTTTTTTTTTGTTTTTCATATAGGAGTATAATTTTCTGTAATCAAGTAGTTTAAAGTTTCAACTTGCCCAAAAAGGCGAAAAAATCAAAATGTATTAATAAAACAAAATGGCTTCAACATAAAATGAGATCGTCGATCTTACGAACTAAAAATAATCGTTTTTATGGCAGAGATAAACGGGCGCAAAAAAAAAATGTTTTGTCTTCGAATAACAATATAACCAACGCGCAATACAAAAGAAAGAAAATATGTAAACGAAATAATATAATTAATGTCGAGTTTTTATCTTCGCCGTAGGTAGGTACGTAGGTAGTATTACATAATATTATAGGAAGTGTGTCTAGAGTTCTATATAATAACATAATATATATATATATAAATATATAAATATAAAATATATTTATATATAATATATAGTAACGTAACAATGTAAGATTATTATATAAATATATATTTTATAATTTATAATTAAAAAATAAAAATAAATTAAAAATCTACCATTTTACACAATAATATAACTGCTAGAACTGCCGCGAAAAGACTTTAAAAAAAAATCTAAAATTTGACGTTTGATCTCGTTTTTCATTTTTGTTTTACATTACATCGTAATAATATCATACATATACATATATACATACATGCATATATATATGTATATAAATATCATATAAATTGAACAACAGAATGATTTTATACAACGAGCCGTACGAGAATATTATAAGTGAGTACACAATAATATTATTAATAACAATAATAATAATAATAATAATAATAATAATAACGTAATATGGTTATTACTTATTATAAAACCATACAAGGCGATGATCGCTTGAAAAACAAAAGACGAAAGAAAGAAACGAACAAACACATTAAATAATATTCGTATACATACACACATATATATATATATATATATGTATACGGTTAACGTGTTATGTTAACATATATGGTCAACCGTAGAACAATCGTATCGGTGGCGGAGAGGAACGCGATGAGGACGGGCACATCGTCTCGTATTACAAGTTTTGTATTTTATATATATTTAGGTATCACGATGTCATCTTCTCGTCCGCTCGAGTGACGATAACATTACGATTTTCATACAAGCCATATCATATATGGCATGCGTATATTATATTATTATTATTATTATTATGACTAAAAAATCGTATAAAGCGTTTGTTTTCACGAGTAAAATGATAATAATTTTTTAAATTATTAAAAACAAAAACAAAAATAAAAAAAACCATATGATATAACACACAGTCATGTATAGTAATAATAATAATAATAATAATAATAATAATTTATGTGGATGTTTCCGCGAGTGTCGCGCGCGCGATGACTCGACGACGACCATCTAACAACATATCAACGCGTTAAATATCATAGAGTTTTATCGATCGCGAACGTAATACATTATATTACACACGGACGAGGAGGCTGGTAAGGTACGCGCCAACGGTCGACGTCCGACGGGGTCAGTCGCACACGGAAATCGTGCTTTTCCTTTTCTTTCCGTTTGTGCGCGTAAAGTGTAGGTACAGCAGAGGTAACTCAAATAATGGGCGCAGCGTGCGGTTGCACAGCGGACATTTTCAAATCGATTCGGTGGAAGTGGAAATCGATTTGGGTTCGCAGCGGCGGTACCGGCGTGCTATTCTTTCATGCGCGTGGTTTGGGTGGAGGAAGGGTGTGAAGAGGGGCGTCTGATCGAGAAATACGTATTATTTATGACGAATATCACGGTTATTACCTCGGGGGGCCGGTAAAATCGAAACGGTTTTAATTCAAGTCAGGTATCCGGCACAGGTAACGCAGCGTGGATATCACGCACAGAGGAGGGTCTGGAGGATCCGAGATCCCCATCCTCTTGGGCGCGCCTCCGGATCGCTTTCGGTTGTTCGGTAATTTCGTTCTGACTGTAAGACGGCTCTGGTAAGTAGTACCTATTTACGTCCGCCGTACCGGCGCCGAGGTCGAAAACAAATAGGAAAAACTATAAATAGCATCGTCACTCGAACCCTTTCCGCAATTTCTGCCACACCCCGAGCCATGTTCTCATCGTTATAACCGACCGGAAAGGATTCGATTTCGATATTATTATAAACTTTTTTCCGCGTCCAACCACCGCGCGTCATACTCCGTCGTAATAACATCGTCGTACAGGCACGAGTCAAAAATAACCGTACATCTGGTTCCGTTTAAGTGCACCTCCCCCTCCCCCTGCGACAGCGTATAAAAAACGTCCGCGTATACGTAACATGGGAATGACCCGGCGAGTTCGATCGGCGGTCGTGGAACGTGATGCGTGTGTGTGATGTCGAGGTGAAGCTGTTCGATCGAGACAGGTCGTTATCGTGCCCGCCACAGCCGGAGGATGTGACTCGCGCGCGCGTTACGAAAATGTGTGTAAAGGTGTACCATATCATTACAAATCGCGGGAAGGAAAACCACAATAGAAAACGGCTTCGTTTTGTAAATGTTTATATAATATATATAATAATAAGTAAAAACGGGGTAATTGACACTGTTCGTTTTCAATAACAAAACAATAAAAATTGTCTTAACTACCTAAAATATTATTTCTCAGACTAGATAGTATTATTTATTATTTATTTATTTATTTAGTTATTGATTTAAAAAAAAAAGAAAGTTTTTCTTTTAATCACCTAAATTATTATATTTATTGCTGAGACGTTTTGTCGTAATAATATTATATATGTCTAAAAGTAAACATTTTATTTTAAATAATTTATACATATCGCGTGGAATATGTTTTTGATTGTTAAAAAGAAAATGTAACGAGGATCCCGTTCGGTAGGCCCTAGGACGTTATTTATTTTAATTTAATAGGAACTTAGGGATGCAATACAATTAAAAACACAATGCGGAGAACAACTGGCGGAGATGCCCGAAACTAAATTTACGAACACAATGCTAATCATCAAATATAACGTCGAAGGAATTATTTAAGTACAATGAACAGATCTCGTTGACTTTATATAATGACATAATATTATCACAAGGTTTAGTTTTAATAATGTTATTCCTTAACAGTTTCGAAACGAGGCATAAATATCAAACGAAAACGAAAACGTTAAATTAAAATATATCCTCAGACTGGACAGTCTCGTACAATTTGAGCAAGTGAATTTTGTATGAACTGAAAACGTTGAGAATGTAATTTGTAATTCTCAGTTCTGGATGTTAAAAAAAAAAAAAAATAAATGAAAAAAAAATAAAACAAAACAACTAAACAAAACGATATAATAAATCAACATTAAATTTTAATTATATTATAATTTATGCCTCTCCGACACTAACTATACACTACCATGCCAATACTTTTTCGAGTTTTTTTTCTTTTAAATATATATTATATAATATATTTTAAAATTTTAGAAATACTATATAATAATCAATATATTTGAAACACAATATTATTAATACACAATAATTAAATAGTATATAATATTATTATAGAACCACGTGACGCGTGTATGTTGTACTTCGTTCAGTTACGTATTGCCAGGTTCGCGTTCTCGTCGTCGCGCGCTCTCGATGTACCCGGCAGGCCAGAACTGATGATGCCTGCCGACCATGACCATCTGGGCTGGCGGCGCTTGTACGCGATGGAACTCCTGTGGCCCGGGCGGGCCTCGACGCTGTCGTGCCAGCGCCAGGCGCGTGGGCGTCCGGGATCGGGACAGGGACGGCATGCGACGGTCGGCCAGAACAGCGCCTCTGCTGGAACGGCCAGTTCCGTGGGCATGAAGGCCGTAGGAACACTGGTCGAACTCGTACTGGTCGTCGACTCAGCGGCGGCTGTCATGGCGGCCGTGCTGCGCCCGCAGCTGTCGCGCTGCTAAACAACGGCGTAGCGGCGGCGTGGCGTGACGTGCGGCGCGCCGAAATCGAACTCCGTCGGCGTGAACAGCGACGACGGGTGTACCCGCCGGCGGAAGTGGCGGCGGTGGCGGCGGCGTTGGGTGTTTGGCCTGACGGCGGCGGGCCGGCCTGCGCCGCCGCCGCACCGAACGTCGTCACGCTGGCGCGCCGGGGTGTTGTTGCTGCGTGCTGGACGTGGTGTTCGCGGAACCGAACGCTGGGTGGAACGGCTCTCGGGCGACGTTCGCTGATGGGCCCACGCCGGCCGCGCCGTCGGACGTCAGTTCCGGCGCGCTCAGGCATCACCATGTGCGCGGACG